TATGTTATTCTTTTTTTTTAATTAATTTATTTTTTTATTAGTGAAACACCATGAGATACAGTTATAGACTTACAAATTTTTGTGCTTAACTAGCAACAGAAAACAAATTGTCTACTGTTGCCTTTTCAGCAGATCTGAGTGTTGGGGTAAAATCCCAAATAATAATGGTGGGTCTGGTGTCAAAATATTGAATGTGATCAAAGTAGAGAGAGAGTAATGTGGACATCATCTGTCCCACGGGTAGGGGGAGGGTGTAGGATGGGGATATACTGGGTTGTTGGGGGTGAAGAATGGGCACTGGTGAAGGTACGGGTGTTTCATTGTATGACTGAGACTTAAACCCGAAAGTATTGTAACTGCTCTCATGGTGATTCAATAAATAAAATTATAAAAAATGAAAAAAAAGTAAGGTGGAGTTCATACCCAATCCAATCAGCTAATAAGTGGCTGAATAAATAGCAGTACTCCTACATAAAAAAAAATAGTCAATCAACAACAAAAAATCAATATAGATCAATTTAAGCAGAATGGACATTTTCCTATTATTGGATTTTTCAATCAATTGCCATGTGTTCTCATTTTTACTTTGGCCTATAAAACTACATTAGATAACTTTCTATATAAAGATCCCATGCAGCATATCAGCCTAGTCAATGATATTCTGATAATAAACTCTATTGCTTTTAAATTAACATAGTCTAGGAGGTATTCAAGGGTCTCCAGTGCAATGCTGGGGGGTAGGAAGGTGGGCACGGCCACTTTCAGTGATTTTTGGCTGACTGGATAGGATTATTGGATTCTAAATACTGGGGGAAATCAGGGACACTCAGACGTGCTTAGGAACCATCAGGGACCACAAAACTCCAAGAGAAATACAATATCAGAGATCAAATCTGGGTCTTTGTGGATGTAAAGAATGAACCCCTGATCCCTGAACTATTTCTTCTGGCTCTAAATTAACATTTTCTAATTGTTCCTGACATACAGAATTAAATTTATCATTTTGACCTAAAATCTATCAACCTATTACTCATACGTACTGGTATCTTATTACTTCCATTTTACATGTATTGCATTACTGCGCTGGGTAAAAATTCCATTAGAACTGAATAGAAATGGTGACAGCGCATACCCTAATGTTTAATGTTACAGGGAATTTCTCAAAATTACACTGTAAAGTTTGCGACAATGTTTATTTCTGTTTGTACCTTTTAGCACAAAGCAGCTTTTATTCCAACTATCACTGGAATTCTTTTTTATTTTAGTTTCTATTTATTTTAAGCACCAGTAGTCACAAAACTTGTATAGGTATGGTTTCATACATAAAACATTCCAGTACCACACCCTACATCAGTGTCCACTTTACATCACCGTATTCCCAGTATACCCCAACCCTTGGCAAGCATCCTACTGAAGACCAGTTATCGGTTTGTTGATATTTCCTTACTGTTTCTTTATATCCTGAATATGAGAACATTCTGTGTCTGTCCCTCTCCTTCTAACTTCACTCAGCATGACACTCTCTAGATACATCTACATGGCAGAAAATTACATGATATCACCTTTTCTTCCAGCCAAGTAGTATTCCACTGTATATACGTATCATACTTTCTTTACCCAGTCATCTGTTTTTAAACACTTGGGTAGTTTCCAGATTTGTGCTATTGTGAATAGTGCTGCAATGAACATAGGAGTGCAGATGTCTGTTCTGGTTAATTTTGGGGGTCATTGGGGTAGATGCCAAGATGTGGAATTGTTGGGTCAGATGGAAGCTCAATTCCTCATTTTTTGAGAAGTGTCCATATTGTTTTTTCCAAAACAATATGTAAAATAGTGAACACTCCCAACAGCAGAAATGAGGGCCCCACTTTCCTTGTATCCACGCTAACTGACACTGGTTGTTTCTTTCCTTGAATGTCCACCAGTATCACTGGTGAGAAATGATAGTTGCTTAGATTTACATTTTCCAGATAAGTGAAATGGAACATCTTTCCCATATACTAGTTATATTACTAGAGTTTATATAAAGTTCTTATATGTTGAATTTTTATCTAAATATTTCCATTCCTCTTTAGAGATTACATCACCTTGCTTCCTTCATCTCCTGAGGAAGTTAAGGAATTGCCTTAACTTTACAAATGATGGGCCTTGTATTCTTAAAGTGTATCCAAAGCATTACAATTTTCATAACCTGCTAAATTATCCTGATACTTTTGTATCTAAGCTAACACACTAACTTTCCTTATCTATAATAGCCTTCATATATTTATTCATCTACGCAATGAAATACTACACAGCTGTTCGGTAAAATGAAGTCATGAAATTTTCTTATTACATGGATGGACATGGAGAGTATCATGATGAGTGAAGTGAATCAGAGGGAGAAGAAAGAGACATAGAATGATCACACTCATTAACCGGATGTAAAAAACATAATTGAGTTTGTTTTATTGTATCATTCTCCATTCTTATATTCTTGGAAACAATTCTCAAATTTTCCTTAGCGATACAAAGACAGTAGAAACAAGAGCTATCCCACCCCAATTTGATCCCCGGAATCATATAAGGGTCCCTGAACATTGACAGGGGTCCCCACTGAACAAAGTCAAGAATAGCTCCTGAGCACCGCTAGGTATGGGCCCAAACTCCCAAAATTTGCAAGTTACAAAAACGAGCATATAACAAATGACATTTTAAAATTAAACCATATTTTATATTTAATAAACCTGATAATACATTAGAATCCATACATAACTGCAAACTTGAAAAACTAACAAAGATTATTTTTGAGAAAATTATTAGAGCTTTAAAAAATGCTACGAATTTTAAGGATAATTTAAATATTATTTTCTTTTTCACTTGATAATTTTACTGATTTTTTTTTAAAGACAGACCATTAAACTCTCAAGACAGATATTTCTATAAATTATTCCTAATGAGACATTCAAAATTTACAAAGCACCTTATTAAATTGTAATAGTTGGTTAAATTCCAAAATATCTGTGAATGTACAAAATTGTAAAGGTTGATAATGATATTCTGTACAAAGTTGACTATCAAAGGTTTTCAGACAGAGAAGCATCTAAAATCTCAGCAAATTCCAATCAAGTGATAATTAAACTCTCTCATCTGACTTTAATTCAAAAATTCCTCATGGCTTTTTAAAAACCCATTTATTCCTATTAGCATCTTTCCCTAAAAACTCTAATACCCATTATTATTACTGGGAACCACACTGCTTCTTTCATGCAAAAGATATATCTCTTTAGGGGAGCAAGGAAGTACACGGGAAGGCTGGGTCATCTCCAATTGTGTTCAGGGGATACTCCTGGCTCCGTGCTCAAGAAAGCATGTGTGGTACTAGGATTTGACGTGGGGTCTGTTGCAAATAAGAGAAGCACAATATCTCCTGTAATATCTCTCCAGACCCATTCCTGTTTTGGTCTGATAGAACGACATTAATATGCACAAAACTAATAAATAAGGCTGATCAAATTAGATTAATAGTGACATAAATATGACACAATTGTGCTTATAATTATGGCAAAAACATCAGAAAATCATTACAAATATTAAAATATAAAAATAAACTGCAATTAAAATATAAACATCATATAAGATAGCTGCATAATAATTTTAATTATAAAATATAAAGACATTTTAGAGCAAAGAGTAAAAATTTTTGAAACTGTCTATACAATAGGTCTTATTTTCTTAATTTCATCTTCCTTTTTTAAAAAAAATATTATATGTATCAAACTGAAGGGGGTAGAACAAATCATATGATAGAAAACTTTCATTTTAATACATAAAAGTGTCTTCACGAAAGAACTTTAAAAGAATGTACAGTGACTTAACACAACAAAGCGGTTATTTCCCACATTCACAAAAGAAAATGAGTATAACAAACATTGTATTTTAAAATTTATATATCCAGAAAATCAATACATGAAAAATTAATGAATAGTATTTCAAGCATAGAGGGACCATTATGTTTATACCTAGGGAATTTACTAAATCGGAAATGTCAGTGCAAATAAACACATAAAAAAATGCCTATTCACGAAAGTAATCAGGGTGCTCAGTGTTAAAATATTAATAAGACACCACTCACTTCCACTGCATAGGCCAAAGGCAAACATCCTTGAAATAATCAAGAGCTGGTAGAAAAAATGAAGAACAGGGACACACATACCTCACCACTGCGTGTGCACAGATCAGCGTGCCCTGAACAGGAATTAGGCAACAGGGAATAAGGACGAGGATGAGCAGACCTCCCACACAGCAGAAACACAGCATGACAAAGCTAAGCTAATGGGTGCAACACAACACTATGAACAACCAAAAAAAGAAAAAAAAAAAAAGCAAGTCTACCTAACTGCCATAAGCTTTGCACCTCACAGGAAATAAGAAGAGGAAATTGAAGAAAAAAATAATTTTTTTTTCTTTTTTGGGTCACACCCGGCGATGCACAGGAGTTATTCCTGGCTCATACACTCAGGAATTACTCCTGGCGGTGCTCGGGGGACCATATGGGATGCTGGGAATCGAACCCGGGTCAGCTGCGTGCAAGGCAAACGCCCTACCCGCTGTGCTATCGCTCCAGCCCCCAATTTTTTTTTTTTTTTGCAATTGACAGTAACAACATGATACGAGTGCAAAGAACCACTTATCAAAACAGATAATGGCAAGGTTCGAGTTAGACAGGCAAGCAAACTGCATCTCAGGGTTTCTAAGGAATGGGTTTGGTGTAAGTGTACACAGATGTGCAAGAATACAGGATCAGTTACCGCTTCTAAGTCAATCGCTTATACCACAGATGGCAATACAGCAAACGTATTATTCTGTGCTTCTGCACTGTAACAGAAAACCACTAAGTGGAATAAAGATGAAAAAGCCAAGTGTGCTTTCTTGAAAATATTTAATACCAGAATTATAAAAAAAAATAGAAAAAAATAAGTGACAAATGTTCTTGTCATACTTCTGTCCGGTCTACTCACCAAGTCTTAGTGTTAACTTCGTACTTATAAAGGTCATCTACCAATCCATATTTATTGCCTGGGAGTGCCTTATAGCCTCCATGAACATAAATAGACTTTGTTATTTCATCATACACACTGGTGTGGCCATAGCCACCCTGAACAATGGCTCCTTTTGTTTCTGGAACAAGCCAAGTGTTTGACGCTGTAAGAAAAAGAAAAAGAACAAACCGTAAGTATTGTTTTAAACCCAATTATAAACAAGCTGAACATAACACAACTGTATCAGTAAAGTATGACTAGTGTTCAATTAAACAAAAACTAATTATTAATTATGTGCTAGTTTTACTCTATCTTTCCATAGATTAAACTATTGCATTGTAGCACTGCCCTTCCGTTCTTCATCGATTTGCTCGAGCAGGCACCAGTAACGTCTCCATTGTGAGACTTGTTGTTACTGTTTTTGGCATATCAAATATGCCACAGGGAGCTTGCCAGTGTGGGTGAGATAGTCTCGGTAGCTTGCTGGGCTCTCTGAGAGGGGTGGAAGAATTGAAACTATTAAATATTAAAAGTGCCATTTTTGTGTGTGCAAGAGAGAAAGAGAAGCTTTATCACATATATGTCTTTATTTGCAAAAGTCTCTGAAAAAAGAAAAGGAAAGAATATTTTATGAGAGCCAACTCAGCACAAACAGGCTCTAAGTCAGTCAGTGATATCAAAAGATTTTTAAAAAAAAAAATGCCTTAATCACTGCCCATTTCAGTTTCTGCAGTATTCTTGCTTAGAAGCCCAACTTTTCTTTGTATCTCCAATGAAAATCTTTAAAAAGTTGCAACCTTGGGGCTGGAGCAATAGCACAGCGGGTAGGGCGTTTGCCTTGCCACGCGGCTGACCCAGGTTCAATTCCCAGCATCCCATATGGTCCCCTGAGCACCGCCAGGAGTAAATCCTGAGTGCAGAGCCAGGATTAACCCCTAAACATTGCCGGGTGTGACCCAAAAAGCAAAAAAAAAATTTTTGAAGCCCTAAAAAATTGACTCCTTTGACTGGTACTTGGCTGAGTTCTGTGGGGAAGGAAGGGGTGAGGGGGGAAGAGGGAAAGAGAGAGTGAGAGAGAAAGAGAGAGAGAAAGAGAGAGGGAGAGAGGGAGGGAGGGAGAGGAGAAGGCAAAGGAAGAAAGTCCCCAAGCTCTCTCCTCTGGCTGCAGAGCAGGCAGCAGTAGCTCCTGGGACACAGACAGCAGAAACCCAGCGCGGCATCACAATCACAGCTCTACTCAGGGGAAGATGAGGCACCTATGGGGGGAGATATTACAGCAGGTAGGCTGTTGGCCTTGCAAGAGGCTGACCCAGGTTTGATCTCTGGGTATGGTTCCCCAAGCACCACTGGGAGTAATTCCTGAATGCAGAGCCAGGAGTAACCCCTGAGCATCACCAGGGGTGACTTCAAATCAAAAGCAAACAAACAAAAAGGAGTGGCACCTATACCCACCCAGCCGCAAATTGCTCGTACACTCCACTGAGGTACAGACTTCTACACAGGCTCCTCAACCTCCATCTGATGTCTCTCTGGCACGTGTTTCTTGAAATCTCACTCACAAGATATGAGTCCACAGATACAAACACATCTCCTTGGCTTTAAGAAGTCAGAGCCAAGAAATTCATATGGAACAATAACCGCCGCCCCCCCCCCCCCCCGCGATAGCTAAAGCAATTCTTGGGGAAAAGATGATGGGAGACATCACCCTGCCCAATTTCAAACTGTACTGCAAAGTAGTAGTGATTAAAACAGCATGGTATTGGAATAAAGACAATCCTTCGGATCAATGGAATAGAGTTGAATATCCTAAACAGACCCTCAAACATATGCTCATTTAATCTTTGATAAAGGAGTAAGATATATGATGTGGAGCAAAGATGGCTACTTCAACAAGTGATGCATGGGTGGCTACATGCATAAAAATTAACTCAGACCTCTTTCTAACACCAGGCACAAAAGTCAGATCCAAATGGATTAAAGACCTGAATCCATAAGGTTTATGGAGGAAAACATAGGTAGAATGCTCCCTGACACTGAAGCTAAATGCATCTTCAAAGATGAAACACCACTGATCATGAAAATGGAAGCAAAGATAAACAAATGGGATTACATTTAAACTAAGAAGCTCCTGCTCCTCAAAGGAAATGGTGATCAATATACAAAGACAACCCACAGAATGGGAAAAATCATTTACCCAATACCCATCTGACAAGGGGTTGATTAATATCAAATATATATATATATATGAATGTATATACATATATTTGGCACTGGTAGAACTTCACAAGAGAAAAACATCCAACCCCATCAAAAAATGGTGAGAAGAAATGAACAGAAACTTTCTCAAAGAAGAAATACAAATAGCCAAAAATCACATGAAAAAATGCTCGGTATCATTAATCATCAGGGAGATGCAACTCAAAACAACAGAGATATCATCTCATACCACAGAAACTGGCATGCATAAAAAAGAACAAGTACAACCAGTGCTGGTACAGATAACAAGAGAGGAAGGGACTCTCACACATTGCTGGTGGAAATGCCCGACTGGTCCAGCCTTTTTTGCAAAACAGCATAGGCATTCCTCAAAAAAAAAAAAATAGAAATTGAGCTTCCATATAACCCAACAATACCACTTCTGAGAATATACCCTGAAGGCCCAAAACATAAAGAAGAAACATCATCTGCATTTCCATGTTCATTGCAGCACTATTCACAAGAGCCAGAAACTGGAAACAACCCAAATGCCCAAGAACATATGACTGGATAAAGAAACTACATTACATCTACACAATGGAATCCTACAGTCACCAGGAAAAGTGAAAGTGAAATCATGAAATTTGCTTTTAAATGGATGGACATGAAGACTATCATGCTGAGTGAAATGAGTCAGAAGGAAAGGAATACACATAGTATGACTGCATTCATTTGGGGGATATAAAAAATAAAAGTATGAGATTAATACCCAAGGACAGTAGAAATGAGGACAAAGAGAACTGGTTGCCACAACTGTGGGAGTGGGCAGTGAGGACAAAGAAGGGACCGCCATGACTATGATAGTTGTAAATGATCACTCTGGACAAGAACTGAATGCTGAACAGGATATACATGATAACCTTTCAGTGTCTGTATTGCAAACCATAATGCCCAAAAGGAAAGAGAGAAAGAGAAAGGGAGAAGGGGAGAGACATAGAGAGAGTCAGAGACAGAGACAGAGAGACAGAGAGAAGAAAAGTGCCCACATAGAGGCAGACTGAGGGTGGGGAATTAGAAGTAGTTCCCTAATGTTCACTGGGAACACTGGTCATGGGAAATGATCACTGGTGAAGGGATGGATGTGGGAACACTGTATGAGCAAAAACACAACCATATACAACTTTGTAACTGTTATGCCACAGTGATCCCATTTAAAAACAAATAAAAATGTCAACTGCAACATTAAAAACAAGAATTTAGAGCACAGAACTGCTTGAAAGAGAACAATGGTGCTTCCTCTCAAACATCCACCCATTGCATACTGCAGCTCTCTATGTGATCATCTAAACTTGGACACCCTTGTCAGATCACAGTCATGGTCACAGTCCTCCTGTTGTTCATTGATTTGCTCAAGTGGGCCCAGTAACGTCTCCATCGTGAGACTTGTTGTTACTGGCATATTAACTACATCAGGGGTAGCTTGCCAGACTTTGCTGTGTGGGTGAGATACTCTCGGTAGCTTGCTGATCCAAACACAAATCAGGGAGCAGCAAAAAGAGATAGTACAGAAAAGTCTTCACACATTGCTTTGGGCAAATCACAGGGTCAGCACATCCGAGTGCAACAGATAAGGCTCGCCCTGGGAAACCACCTTGGTGATCAAGGCAGGTAAGTAGTGACAGATTTCTAAGGGAGTGAAAAGACTCATCCTCCGATGATTGAAAGATGTAGACGTATAAAAAGAAAATATCAGAGTGAACTGTACTCTGAGAAAATCAAACATGATGAGGAAATTTTATAGTGCTCTTGCAACGAATGGACAATAACCTGAGAAGATCATTCCTAAAGAATGAAGTAACTAATAGCTAATGAAAATGATTTAAGGGCCAGGAAGATAAAGCAAAGGGCTGAAGCACATGCCTTGTACGCATGAGGTCTCAAGTTTGATCCCCAACACCTCAGAGGCCCTGAGAAACCCCATAAACAGCATCTCATGGCCCCCAGCACCACCAGGCTGACAATGGCCCTCCAGCACTCTGGGGCCCATCATTGAGTCTGAGCACTGCACATGGCCAGGGGCGCACGGGGGGGGGGGGGGGGGGGGTGTGAATAGCTAGGTCCCCAGGCACTGCTGGGGTGGCCCCAAATTATTTAATATTCTGTACCCAGTTATCATGGCTTTGCATAAACAACCAAAATCACGGTTTTTAGTAAATCACTTTTATAAAGATTAAGCATTTTGACTTGCCAAAGAATACTGACAAAAATACAGCTGAATGTGACCTTCTAAACCCCAGCACTACAAAGAGGTTTTCTCAAAATGTGTTCAAGTATTTGTACAAGTATTTTTAAACTTTGTAGAACATCATAAATTTGTGAAAGTATTTTTATACTATACATACACACACAAACACACACACACACACACATATGATCTATAAATCATTGTCACTGTCCTCCCGTTGTTCATCGATTTGCTCAAGTGGGTACAGTAATATTGTGAGACTTGTTACTGTATTTGGCATATCGAATACGTCACGGGGAGCTAGCCAGGCTTTGCCATGCAGGCGAGATACTCTCGGTAGCTTGCCAGGCTCTCTGGGGGGGGGGGGGGGGGGGGGGGAGGGGGCGGCGGGGGGGAATCAAACTCGGATCAGCTATGTTGGTCTATAAATACATCCCTCTAAATAGTTTTAGCCTAAAATATGCTACTTTATCATTTTGGGGTTTTTTCCATATAACAACTTTAGGGACATACTTCCATATGCAATTTCCAAGATTTAACAGCCAAATTTCATTGGACTGAAGATAAATAAGTGAAATAAATATGCTGTTACTCATCTGAGTCTCAATTTGATTTTAAAACAATGATGTTCAAGCTAAAAACTTCCTGTACTGTGGAAAAAGTTATCACTAAAGTAAAGACATCTTATGGAATGAGAGAAAAGAGCCACCAGTACCACGGAC